TTTGGTGAGAAAATTAACAAATAGTATTTTCAATAGCAGAGTCGGGGGGAAAGGCCAATATTTATATGATATTCTTTTCACATCAGGTATTGATTCCAGGAGACAGGATCTACATTTCAGACTGAAGTCAAGGTAAAAGCCAGTGACTGGCTGTTTTGCTTTTTGGATCTCCAGGTTGAATCCCAATTTCTGACCCTGAGCTTTTATTAATTGTGCTTCATTTGGTGCCCAGGTCAGAGCTGGGATTGGAATTGCAACTCTAGGACCCAAACCTAGACACCTGGGTTCCTGAGAAAAATCTAGTGTTCCCAGTTCCCATATGTCCTAGCTTAGCTTCCATATGAAGGTGAAAAATACACAGAGAATCTGGATACTATATGCTGTTGTGTTGTCTTTGAATTTTTTGACTGCTGAGAAAGGAACAACAGCTGCTAAAAGACATTTGATTATGAATGCTGCTAGGGTTAATCCAATTTATATATTTTGAAAATGCCTTGACTACAAAATTTAAATAAAGAGATATGTTACTTTGGAGAAGGTCTCATTGTTTTTGTTTCCACAGCAAATGAGAGTCCATGAATTCATTCTTGGCTATGAAAAGTAAAGTTTAATGGAGGAAAAACCCTTGAAAAAATTCTCCAATGGGAACAGATTACCCAGATGATCCAAAGTTTCAGAGTACATTTGTTACAGTTTCCTCTGAGTTCTACATCCAGGACAGTTTCAAGACTGCTGGCTGAAATAATCCAGTATCACAGAATACTCTAGTAAGGACTGGAACCATAATCCTAAATTTTCTTTGGGTCCCCATAAGATTATCAGTGCCCTCAATCAGCAGAAAGTAGCCTAGAAAACTACACCCACATCCCTCTCCCCAAATGCATTATGGATGTTTGTCTTTGTTTAATGTATTAGTTGCAAGTTGTTATGGATAATGATCAGGAAAAAAGTTAAACAAAGGAAATTAAATTCAAGGTTCTTGTTTTGGAAAAAGAAAATAAAACAAAAAGGCCAGGAGCTAGTGGCCAATCTCAGCACTCAGGAGGCAAAAGCAGGTAGATCTCTGTGAGTTCAAGGTCAGCCTGGTTTACAAGAGTGAGTTGCAGGATAGGCTCCATAGCTACCGAGAAACCCTGTCTCAAAAAACCAAAGATATGTATATATATATATATATATATATATAGAGAGAGAGAGAGAGAGAGAGAGAGAGAGAGAGAAGAAAAAAAGGAAGAAAAATGGGGATATAAATATAAAATAGAAAGGTAGATTGTTGAATCTACTTTTTAAAAGCAACTATTAGTTTTAAATGTTTTACATTGGTTTTACTTTTGTATATTGTATGCAAATTTGTATATTGATATAAGTTTGAGATTATTTTGTTAAAACATATTATACATATGTTTTTAATCTTGTTCAAAATATTGTACCTATACAACTCATTTAACAATGTAATGCAAATTTCCAGTCCTTGAAAAGTATTATTATTAACTGCTTAGGATAAGAAAAAAATAGGTTAGGAGTTAATCACCTAGTATAATCAACTTGTAGTCATATTAGGTATGTTTTCAAGATCAAACAAAGATATAATTTAAATGGATAGGTCATCTTCAAACACTTTAGAGATCTACAGAATATGGCATTTAAAATGTGTTAATAACTTAGGTTATTCTTTTTTTTTAATGATAATGAGACATGTCTGCTCCTGGTAGCACCAATATACTTCAGGGAAGATAATGGGTATTGAAGAAACTCCACATGAAGTTTACTTTCTTTGTGGCAAAAGTAAGCCACTGGGAAAGAAAATGCCCCTGCCTCAACTGCTGACATTATGCTGTCCTAACTAGACAAGCAGGACACAAAATATCCTGCTTCACAGAAAAGTATGTTGAATATGTTAGGCCTGTAGGCTGAAGATAGTTGCTACAACGTTGCAAAAAAACTTTTGATGACTGTTCAGGCTGCCAGCTGTTTCTGTCATTATTCACATTTTTTTGAAGTTGCTTGCTTGCACTTCCTGCTTACTTAGTTAATATTATTTCCTTGTTGGGTCTCTGAGGGAGTTGAAAATTAGATAGCTATAGTTATAGTTAGCACACATAAAAAACAAGTTATAATAGAAAGTAAATTAGGTATAAAACTTTGTACCCAGCAAGATAGGATAGATATCAAATATTTTCTCTGAATTTGTCAAATGCAAATGGACTATACATTATTGATGTATTTATTGCCTGTATATACTGTATATAGTCATTGAACTTATCATTTACAGTTCTTATAATAGCCTTATTTTTTATTTAATTTCTAGACAAAGAGGAGAAATGTAGTGGCATTTCAAATGTATTTTAATAAATAAATACTACCTGAAGGTATGAAAGTAAAACAGTCCCACTGGTCAGCCTTACAGACCAGATTATGGTAACACATCTTTAATCCCAGTAGCCATAATGACACATATGTTTAATCTCAGTAGCTACACTAGTTGCTGTAGAAACTGGGTGGTGCATGCCTTAAATGATGGTGGTATACACATTTAATCCCAGCCCTAGATAAAATTATAAAATAGGAGGAATAGATCTCAGGCACACCGTCTTCTTCTGAGATTCCAAGAGGCAGGATCTCCGTTTCAGGCTGAGGTCAAGGTAAGAGCCAGTGACTGACTGTTTTGCTTTTTGGATCTTCAGGTTGAACCCCAATTTCTGACCCTGAGCTTTTATTAATTGTGCTCCAAGTAATTACTACCTATTTTATGTGAATAATCTCAGTTAACCTTCACCACAGGGTCATGTGATTTGAGTTATAACTATAGATCTGCATAGTCAGGAATAGTGAGTTAAGAAGTCAAAATTTATGCATTTTTAGTTCCTCAAGCGTCTTGCTAATCAAATTACAAAGCCTTCCATATAGAAAACCTCAGCAAATGAGCTTGCTTTCTAATGAATATTGTTAAAGATGGAAGATGCTTAAGGTTTATAACCACACATTTTGTTTTCCACATTTTTCAAAGTCATTTAACTAGGGGCAAACCTCTAAACTCATTAGACACAACTAAACACATCAAATAGAAATCTGACATTTATAGAACAGACTAGTCATTGCTATTTCAGAACATCTTGAGAAGGAAATAGGCACTTATGCACAGCATGAACTCCACAAGGAAAATGTCATAGAAAATGCTCCCTAAAAGAACATTAGTAAGAAGACTTGAAATTCTTATGTGGCTGTAGTAAGATCTACATCATGGGGTTTAGATTCTTTACCTGGGTGAAGTCAGACTGATTCTGCAGGAAACCTGGATGACCACAAGGAAAAAACCTTCATGAGGCTATACAAGGGTGGACAGAACTGTGTGAAAGTCAAAATCCTTAGTTGCTGGGGTTTGATTCCCGGAACCCACAGGTTGGCTAACAATCGTCTGTATGTAATTCCTGTTCCATGGGATCCAATACCCTCTACCACAATGCTTGTTTGCCAGGGATTCACACGTTACACATACCTACATTCAAGAGAATCACCCATCCAAATACAATAATAACAAAATTAGATTTAAAAAACTCACTAATTGATTTAGAGGGATGTGAAACTTTTCTAAGTGTAGAGGATGGAATAAAAATTTGAGGCAGAGATGGAAATGTATTCTAGAATAGTTAATAAATTAAATCTGGCTTGACTGTGAATATAAGTATGTTATACATAGATCCATATATATACAAATAAGGCTATAAAGAAATCACTAGGATTGTCTGAGGTTTGTGGGTCTTTCTGACATTGTGCTTTCTGTGGTCATTTTTCCCTGTCCATGAAGCAAACGTTGGCATCACACCATGCCTATAACTGCCAGTTCCTATGGCCTCAGAACAAGTTACATCATCAGTGGGCATTCTGTGGCCCAGTATCTGAGATAAGACTGGTTAATAAAGGAGATTATAATTTATCTACAAAATAAATACAAAGAAAATTAGAAGATATAACTTGTTCGTCTCATTTCAAATTGTAGGGATAAAGTTATGACAAGACCCCAGAAAGCAGAAGTCTTTTCATGTCATGAGCCATGGAGTCTCATGCACATTGAAAACATCCGAAGAGGCAACGGTAATGACTTATTTTCATAACAATTCATCAAATGACTGTGGCGCCTTGCAAAAGTAACTCATTTTGATCTCATAAACTCTTCAGAAGGCATTTTTGCATGGATAACTCAAAAGGGAGAAAAAGACTTGAAGAATAAAAACTTACCCTCTTTTTGTTCTTTGGGTGGAGAGGTAACCTTACATAGAATAAACAGTTTTAATGTGCTTATTATAATGTCATTCTTTAATAGCGCTTTATGAAAGGAACACTCAGGCATGGCAACATAATAGCCCTGAGAAAAACACAATTTTAACTATTTGGAAAGTCAAATTTTATGAGGTGAATCGATAAATACATTAGAGTCACTAGAATGAAGACGACATTTGTTACATCATGAAGATTGCTTGTCTGTCTCTCGCTGTCCACATACTGAAGATAATATCGTTTGGAACCATGAAGATAGGAAAGTACATCAGAGGTCACCTACGTGAACAATGTATTGGTGGTGAAATTCACGAGCTGGCATTCAGTGGTGATTGGTTTCGTTGTTACAGAGGGGTTTAGATTCTTGTGCAGAATTCTTGTTAGTTGAAAGAATGGCGGATAAACTCTTATAAAAAATAATAAAATGTTTTTACAGTGATCTTCTACACTTTATTGTCATACATAGAATTCAGCCTAACTCTGAATATCCAGTTAAATAAACACTATGGTTTACTTGGTCTGGTTATATCTTTGTTTAAACTTCAACTTTTTAACAGCCTTCAATACATAAGACAACAAATCTGGCTGCCTCTCCTGATGTAAGCTGTCTGAATGCATCAAAACTGTTACCCATTTCTCTGAATTTTTCACATAGATAAGAAGAATAAAAGATCAGAAGTATACTCAAGTTTTTAAAAGCACATTAAATTGTTTTTTTTTTTTAAAAAAAAAAAAAAACACAACCTATCATTTAAATGTGAGAAAGGTCCCAAGAAGTAATGAGGCCGTCAAGGTAAAAAGCAAAATTATCCTGCTGAATGAACTGTTGCAACAAGTCTCTGTTTCTTAGGACTCACATTGATGCGAATAGATTCCCCAGGAGCAGACAGGACAAAGCTGCAGGGGGTCCTGTCACTCACATGTTGTGGAAGGAGCTGCAGGCAGCTTCCTGCCACCCAGCTCCCGGCCACTGGCTAACTTTACCCAAAATAATTACACGGACACTGTATTCTTTTAAACACTGCATAACCCATTAGTTTCAGCCTCTTATTGGCTAATTCTCACATCTTGTTTTAACCCATATTTAGTAATTTGTGTAGTGCCACAAGGTCGTGGCTTACAGGGAAAGATTCAGCATGTCTGACCTGGTGGCTGGCTCCATGGTATCTAACTCACTTTCCTTCTTCCCAGCATTCTGTTCTGTCTACTCTGCCCACCTATGTTCTGAACTATCAGGCCAGGCAGTTTCTTTATTAATTAACTAATGAAAGCAACACATAGAAAGAAGACCCGCCTACATCAGCATGTGTCACAGGAGCCCACCTATGGATTCTCCCTCTCGTGTTTATAAAGGCCTATCTGCTTGGCCTGGTACCAGCTCATCCTTTGACGGCAGACTTTCTACCTAGATGACTGACACTGGACTTGAAAGAGAGTACAAATGAAAGACTCTTTCCTAGTCTAGAAAAACTGGGCACTGTCATAGCTTTTTGAACATGTGCACATATGATGTATTCTGTCCTATGCAGAATATTGAGGGGCCTTATGGGGAATATGGAGGTAGAGAAAAATATAAAGACTTTCCCCAAACAAAATCATGAGCTTGAACTTGAACATAGGTAGAGTGGATTTAAACCTTTATATTTCTAAACTATAACTGCTTAAAATATATCTTGTAGACATGATATATTATGAATAACTTACAGAGGCATGAATAAATGTAAAAATACTGAGGTTAAATGTATTGATTTGCATATGGTAATATATTTGTAGAAGGTGGATGTTAAGTGGATGGATTCAAGTTTGCACTTAAATGAAGGCTACCAGTATTATAGATAGATAGATAGATAGATAGATAGATAGATAGATAGATAGATATAGAGATAGATATAGATATGTTCTGGAATTCGTAAATTCAGAAGTATTTAATGGTTTGTTTTTTACAAAACCGGATAACTAAATGTTTAAATGATAATAGCAATTCAGTACTTTCTATCACATTAACACATACTATGCTACAAAGAAAAGTGAAAGACATCCTCCAGAGAATTCAATGTTTTATTTTGCCAGACAAATGATTTCTTCGACATCTAATTAAATTTTCATGTGGTAACTACATCTAGTTTGCTTTCTCTACACATGGTGAACATTCACTGTAGTGACAGCTTCATCATGCTAAGTCTATTCACAAACCTACACTTTAAGGGGAAAAGTGCATTTCTAGGTAATTTTATATACAACACAAATGAAAAACATGCTAAATCAACAAATTGCCCAAGTACACAAAAAAACCTACTAGTCACCCATATTCAACATGTATTAATTATGTTTTTGAGAAATACATTTATTTTACATTTGGCAGGGTTAGGTTGAATAGTAATTTCTATATCTTTAAAAGAAAAGAAATGGGTATTTAAAATGTAATTGTGGTTTAAAAAAACAGGAGGTATTAAATAGAACAAATAAGAGCATAGAATTAAACATCACCATCTAACCATGTGAAGCTACACGGTGCCAGGGCACTGTGCTTTGGAAGTCATGTTACTTTAACTTTGTTCATACAATAGATTAATTGCAAACACAGAGGATGGTGTTAGTTTTGCGTGTAAACACACTGCTATTTTTTGCATGTATAAGAAAAATAAAATGTGAACGTTTTAGGTACGCAAACCATTTACATATAGGAACACTATATATTATTGTAGCACAGTTTGGAACAACAGTTTTAAAACAGAATTGGATGACATTTATGTTCTCTAAACTGTTGTTTTTCACTACATTGAGGTGCCTCTTAGAACATCAAAATTTACCATGTCTTACCTAAACACATCTTTATCTTCTGATAATGAGTGCAATCCCTCCATATCTCCCTTCCTTTTTCTTCCTCTCTGATCTTCCTTCTTTCGTGTCTGTCTTTCCTTCTTGCTGGCCGGATTTTCCTCTTCCCTACCTTTCTTCCTTTCCTTGTGTTAGAGCCCAGGATCTTGTGCATGCTAAACATGTAACCTGCAACCTACCATCAACTTACACCCCTCCCTACACATGATTTCCTTCCCCGTGTTTTGTTCACAATACTCAAAAAAAAAAAAAAAAAAAACAACAACAAAACTTTCATTACCTTCTTTATGAACTGTTAATAAGAACTGTGTTTCAACAGTGTTTGGTATCATTTCTCTTTGTTTCTGGAAATTCAAACATGTATTTAAACCTGTATTAAAATTGATTTATCTTTGAAAAACCTAAGTTCTATCATTAAAAGAAGTATGAGGAAGTTTCCCATAATTTATCCATTTAGTTTTTAAAGTGGAGAAAATAACTTTAGTGCAGTTTTCTCATAAAACAATCCAAACATTCTGATAGCTTCACTCTGCGTGGAGAAGTCAGGATGTTTTCACAATGTTTTCTCTCCTTGTTTTGCTTAATTTGCCAAGTAGACTAGGAAGTTAAAATCAAGCAGTAAATCAGTTAAATAATGTAAGAGCATATACAAGTCTATAATAACTTAAATAACTTCCAAGAAACAAAGTGCTTTTGTTTGGAAGATGGTAACACAACAGTAGAAATGGCAATGCCTCACTGATACATCTCCCATCAAAGGCCTGGGTGGCGCAGGGTATTCATTTCATCTTCCTGAACCAAGAGAACAAAGACTGACGGCAGATCTCAGCAGCTGGCACATATTACAATCTTAAACAAAGGGACAAGCAAGAGTAGAACCCACTGGAAGGATATGAACTCATTGTGTTCTCTTTATGAGTCACTCTTGTTTTTAAGTAACATCTGGATGCTCTCTTCTCCGTCATTTGTCTAACCTACACGACTTTTGGGGATGGTTATTCTGTCGCATGCATTTATATGACATTTACTATGTGAAAATTGTGAACTGGAATTCGTTTTCATGTATAAAAACCACCCACAATTAACAAAGCTGAACCCCCAGGGCGGGGAAGCAACAGCACAGAGTAATTTATGGCCCCCGCTCAACCGAGGGTGTAACAGTTCTGCTTCTGTCGCTGCACTGATGTTGAAGAAAAGACACATAAAGATATAAATAAAATCTGGGATAAGTTAAATATTTCTGTGCACCATGAAGACCATGACATGTCTAGTGCTAGTCTGTATCAGACAAGAAGATGCATGCTCATTTCAGTTCACAGAGAACGCACTTGAGAGCGAGTCTCCCGCTTTTGTCGGTAATTTCTCATGGGGAAAGCTCGAGACTTTGCTCAGTAGTTGACCAGTGAAAACAGAGCATTTGTTACGGAAAGCACAGCTCCACCGATGAATGTTTATGACTCCGGAAGCTGATTCCTTCTGTTCCTGCTCTTCCTGCTGTTGATGAGAGCCTTCAGCTTGCCATAGTCCCCCCTCATCTTCTGGGGTTCCTCTCCCAGATGCTGATGTTGCTGCCGGGTGTCTTTACAGTACTGGTTGATGAGTTGCATTTCCGAGTGGCTGAATGCCCCCAGGATGTCCTTTGGATGAAAGGGTAGAGCCCTCACCGAGCCTGCCCATGTCCATGGGGACCACTTGTCTGTCACCACGGCTACCATTTCTGAATCTAAAACTTTGAAGTTAATCTTGGCTATGGTCTGCTTGAAACCGTTCTCTGTGGCAATGCAGTGATACAGCCCTTGGTCTGAGTCCTGAACAGAGCGAATGAGCAGGCCTTGGGAAGTGGCTATGATGCGCTCATTGAGTTTAACCTAAGAGAGAAACACCGTGAATGTCCCAAAGAGAAGACTACAATTTCTAAAACAGTATGCTTAGTAGATATAAAAAAAAGAGTTGACTTTCACAGCTAGGCAGAAGCATTGAGGCTCTTCAGTCTCAGAGTGCACACCATTTAGGGTTAGTTCCATTGCCCACACCCACCCTTCTGTCTACAGTGTGCAGTATTGTCTCCTGAACTAACTAAAAAAGATAGTGAAAGTACCATCCATATAAGAAAAAATGAAGTGGGTTCCTGTGCTGGCTAGCTTTATATCAACTTGACACACACTAGAGATATCTGAAAGGAGAATTTGAGAAGATGTCTCAGAAGGTGCCTCATGTCTCAACTGAGAAGATGCCTCCACAAGATCCTGCTATAGGTAATTCTCTTAATTGGCAGGGGTGAGCCCTCCCCACTGTGGGTGGAACCATTCTTGAGCTGGTGGTCTAGAATTCTGTAAGAAAGTAGGCCTAGGCAATCACAGAGCCTACATGGGTCCTCTTCATATATGTTGTCATTGTCTCTCTCGGGGATTTTGTGAAACTCCTAACAGTGTGAGCAGGGGTATATCTGATACTGTTGCCTGCATTTGGAACCCTTTTTTTTCCTACTGGGTTGTCTTCTCCATATATATATATATATATATATATATATATATATATATATGAATCCTTATATATAAGGATTCATGCCTATTCTTATTTCGTCTTTATATGCCATGTTCAGTTGATAGCCCTGGAAGTCTGGTCTTTTCTGAAGAGAAATGCAGGAGCAGTGTGGATCTGGGAGAGACGGGGCGGGGGTGACTTGGAGGAGTGGAAGGAGGAGAAAGTGCAGTCAGAATGTATCATATGAGAGAAGAAGAAATGAACAGGAAAAATGCATCAAACAAATGTGCTCACTTTTGCCTATATCCTTTTTATGAGATTTAAAAAAAATAAAATAATTATCGCACTATGGGATGGCTAAAACTAAGTTGTAAGGACAAGGACATTACCTTATAAGACTTTCAAGGAAATTTACTTCAGCAAGGTAATAAAAAATGTGGTAATATTATAATCCACTGTAGGGATTATAACAGAAAATGACCATTTGCTGTGTATTGGCTACACACATGAGATCCATTTGCATCACAACTAATTGCTTTACAGTCGTAGTTATTGTATTAGCAATGAAGAGATTGAGAATCCAAGAGTGGGAAGTCTCCTGGCATTTACAATCTGGATGGTCTGTCTTTGAATAAAAACAAAAATAGGACCAAAATCAATAAAGATGATATATGTGGATATTTTTACATTATCAAAGTTCTGTCCAAACGTGCATTTCATTGTGAATAAAATCCAAACCTAAGATTGTATTTAGATTTAAAATGTGTAATCTTGAGTAAGTTAATATGTGTCTGTGTTGTGTGCACTTGTGTAACTGGATTACACTACAGAAACAAAATCACCTACAATAGAACCCACACACATGCAGGGGTGCAGCCAATTTCTGGTCGGCTCCATTGAAATTGATGGTATAGTAGCAACATGACATTTTTGAATTAGGAGCTGCATTTATGCACAGGTAATTTTTTTTCATCTCAAGCGTCGGGACAGTGCGACATCACTATCATGGAATTCGGTATTTACAATATGTACAGATTTACAATCTTGACAATGCCAATCTGCAATGTCATTCTTTTCAAATAGTTCTTGATAATCAATAAAAATTCAGAGTAAGATTATATGTATACATATTTGCTAGTCTAGGGGTCCTTTTCCTTAATAATAAACAAACCAGTGGTCTCATAAACAATGACTGCATAAATTACCTGAGCAGCATATAAGGGTCATGAATGCTAATGCAATGGAAACATGACCACACCGCAGAAAAATGTTCCTTGCAACAAAGGGTCATAGTTCAGCATAATCTCTTGCTGAAGGAAACGGAACATTTTCAAGCTCCTTTTATCTCGGGAGTCGCACAAAGGTGCTGTTGTATGCGGTCTTAGCTTCCGGATTCGCACACATCTTACACGCGTCCCTCCTTACATATTCCTCCCGTCCTCGCTCTTGAGTTCGTGTTACAAACTCTGAGACTACAGAGGTGGCTGGGAGAGGGGATTTCTAACTAATCCCTCAAATCTAAGGACAAAGACGAAAGAAGATGGCAATGGCATGCCCCTGACATAAAAGGACGCTTCTTTGTCTTCACTCCACAGTGTCTCTCTGCCTCCCTGAGGAATGCTGAATTAGCGCTACTCCCAGAGTTCTGATGGATGGCCTGGGAGGTGGGGGCGGGCCACTCACCTCCTTCCTCCTGTCTTTCTCTTTCTGCAGCAGCCACTTGACAGATGCCTGGGGAGACTTCGGGGCGCACTCAAGGAAAGTGCTGTTATTTCGTACTCCGTACTGAACAATTTCGGCGGCGTTTCTGTATGCTGGAAAGCAGGAATCGGAGGAATGAGAGAACAGACGTTAGAGGTTACTCCTCCATGTGAACGTGTCCCCCTGTAAAACTGTGCTCAGCACGGTTGTCACCATATAGGAGTCAGTAAAGTTTACGGGTCTAGACATTTTATTTAAATGCAAAGTGAAAGAGACACTAAAAGTCACCTAACGTCACGTTGGTACACATTTATTAGTCTGCACTGAGGATTGTAACAGCTTTAATTATCTAATAACTAAAACAGCCTTGGAAAATTAGATTTTCTCAATTGCACAAGTTGAGACCATGAGTCATGAAGAAATATACCATAGTATGTATAATATCTGTACATATGTAGTATGGGTAATATATGAAGAAACACACTATAAGTAAGGTGTGAAGAACCAGACAAAATGGAAGCTGGGTTTATGGCATCCATGAATTCATACCCAGTGTGGGATGGAGAAGCTCACACTGAAAGCACAGGATGTCTACTATATATAATACAATGATTGAAAAGCCAGGCTTTGCAGAAAAAGGAACATGGGGTAAACTAATGTACACCCACACTACAGGCGGTGTAACGTGAGACAAGTTACTTAAACCATCTCTGTGTTCCTCTACTCATCTCTAAAGCACAGATTACAAATGTTTAAACTTTTAATAAAAGTTTTACGGCAAATGAAACACTGGTGAAATCAGGCAGAGGTTAAACACAGAAACAGAGAGCTTTTTTTTCCGAAATCAGTGAGCGAAATCGATGCTGTTACAGACTTTGAAAAATGGATGAGGTCATCACAAGAAAGAACTCGAGCTGAGGCTGAGATATTTGATGTTAGCTCATGTCGCTGCTCTCAGCACTGCGACGAGGAGCATGTTAAACAGGAGCGGACGCGATGTTTATGAAAATGCTCCATGAACAGCAGAGGGCAAAGTGGATGAATTCCCTAAATTAGATGACCTAACTTGCAGCTGCATCTTGGAGTTACCATCACAAGGAACAGGAATGCCCTGCTGTACTAAATGAAGGCCCAGGCTCAGGTGGCTGGTCAGTGTAAGGTTAGTCTCCAGCCTAGGTATATAGAACTCGGGGCCTGCTGCCCCGTAGACCTGGATGCTGGGGTTACTCTTCGTTTCAGTCTGTTTTATCTTTAAAATAATAAGCCTGCAGCACCAGATGAGTCATAGAAAGCTGGTTGAAGTGGATGGAAGGGAAGGGTTCCATAAAGTTTAACAACACGGCATCTCTTTGTCAGGACAGAGAGAAAGGGCTCCGGTAAACTGTAAAAGGGGCAGACCCGCAGCTGAGTCTCAACCTGGATCTCTGAAGGATTTTCTCTGCATCTGTAATACTGGGGGCTGTACATGTCTCCACAAAAGGATGAGGAAATACACAAAATGTGATATATATATATAATGAATATATGAATTATGATATATATAATAAATTTTATAAATAGGAAAAAACATATGTTAAAGAGTAAAGAGACTCTGAAAACATGAAAAGAACTAGGCATAGATAGCATCACAGATCCTGTGTGATTCCACCACACCGAATGTCTAAAATAGACAAACTCTGAAGAAAGTAGGATGGCTACTGGTAGGAAGTAGGGGAAAGGGATGTTTAGTAAATATTTAATAAATGCATTGATTATGTTTGGGAAGACAGTAAGCATCCTAAGATACTTGGAAGATGGTCCCACAATGCAAATGTTATAAACAGTATGGAGGTCTATGATTCAAATTAATTAAAATCATAAACGTTTTCTTATGTGTATTTGCTTCAGTAAAATACTCTTTATTGTGTTACTTGTTAGCCAATTTTAAAAGTAAAATCTTTGTTTCAGAGAGAAATAAGTGTCTAAGAAAACTGGGTTTGCCAGCTGTGTGAGACCCTGGCTGCCACGTGCTCCAGAACACTTGATTTTGTGTGTTCTCCACAGTGACTATCAGACAGCACTTACACCTGAGTACAACTCACAGATACTTTACACACTCATGATGCCGCGTTCTCAAGTGAATGACTTGAGTCGAGGGCCTTACTCAACGGGAGGCAGAATGCTGCCGTGCTCTCGATGACCTGAGTGGAGGGCCTTACTTAATGAGAGGAGAATGCTGCTGCTCTTCACCATGGTCAGCACCTGCCCCCTTTTAATACCTTTCAGATTGAACCCTCGGCATTGCGTCAGTGGATTCCCGTGTCTCACGTCTTGTCTTCGGCTCCTCCTGTAAGTGCAAAAAAAAATATTAAAGGGATAAGTATTACTGACGATTATGCTACATTAAAAGCACCCAGTTTTAGTCTTTGCGGCCACTTGATTGCCTAAGCTTTAATTTAGAAAGCAGAGAGGAAGTCTCCTTATCTCACACAGCACCCTGACCATTCGCCGTGCATGAGTGACAGCTGGAACCCATTCTCCCTCTAGATGTAGTGGGGCCTCCTCTATCTTATCATCTGTAATGGGACAGTCACAAAGATGACAGGATACATCATCACTCCCTGGTGGATGCTGGGTTGTCTTAATAACTGTATCACATTTTATTTCATAGATGGTAACCCAAAATGCACTGAAACAAAAACTGCTGAATGCTAAACACAACAGCTTTTTTCTTCTTTTGAAAGTGTCGTTTAAATAAACACACTTTTGTTTAAAAAAGACAGTACTCTGTGGATGTTTTTGTTTTAAGCTTTTTGGAAACATAAATAGGAATGCTGAATACAAAGGAAATAATCTTTTACTTAAAAGAGTTTCAGGTTTTCAATGAGTATGTGCGTACAGTGAATTCTAAGATGTTTATATGTACTTTTTCTATATTTACTATATTTTCTGTTATGCATGTGTATCTATATTATATATGTATAATAGTATATTTATTGCTATGTAGTCACATATGAAAACTTTTAGAAAATGAGATGCAGATATAATGCCTTACCCTATAGACAACAATGATGTTAATGATGCTGATATCTGTTTAATAGCAACATTGAGTTTAGGGGATATAACAGTTTCTCATTCTCCCACAATACTTATTAGGAGATTTTTTTAAGGCATCATCGCCAAGTAAATAGATTATTAATTGGAATATCCTAATGTAAAAAGCATTTTAAAAATGTGTAACTTTTGTAAACTGAAAATTAGTTATATAAAACCTTATAGTATTTGCTCATTAGTGATTTCACTTCTTGAGTCTCAGGTTCATGATGGTTCAGTTCTCTTAATGTTGACTTCATAAAGGAGATGAGTGACCCAAAGAGAGTAGCTGTATACATGCAGTCACCACTAAAACTCACGTGGACACTGACTTTAAATACTGGAAACACACAGCTAAATGTGTGAATGAGGATACTATTTCACTGAAATAAGTGTCAGGTCCTGATATTTTATCCTGATGATGAAATATTGATCAGAATTCTGAACAGAAATAAAAAGCCATACAGTGGTTATTAAACATACAAAATAACATTAATCACGATGTCACTCATGACGGTCTCACTTAAAAATTATCAGAAGTGGCTAATACTTTATGTCACCAAATACATTTATAGAAATGTTGGTATATAAATTGTACCGTTTGACTTTATATATGTATAGTATCACACAAAGTAGTGGAAGTACCAGTCACTCTCATGTAAGGAAGTCTGATCGGTGTCCTGTTCTAGACCAGCTCCAGGTTCACATTTTTACTGCCACGTATTTGCACTAGTTCCTACTGTTAATCCTGGGAATGGATACTAAAACAGCACTTGGTGAGTGTTCTTAGGGTGGGGCTGGTCATTTTCAGCCTTCTAGACACTCAATGTCTAAATTTATTGTTCTGCAGTCAGCACTATGGGGTGTTACTTGTGCAAAATATATAACCTCCCACGCTAGGCAAAGTGAACTTGCCACATCAAATTCCAGACATTTAAATAGAAAACCTTGCTCTAGCTTTTTTTTTTTTTTTAATGATGAGATCAGCTAGAGCCTTTGGTATGTGTCAGTTTCCTTGAATGCATTCCTGGGGCATAACAGAACTATGCTGGTAGGCAGCGCGATATTACATTACATGTAGGATTTGGCTTTGGCTGGCTTCACTGACATTTCATCATTATTCGCAGTTCTTTTGGATAAACAATGAAATCACTTTCTACTTTCACAGAAAAGGGGTTTAGAAAGCTTGAACTGATTATCCCATCTTCCACTTTCCAACTATCCGCCTTAATTCAGGATGAATATTATCAGAAGCTGCATTGCAGTACTGATACACGCAAGCATTTCAGATACTTCAAAGTGGTGAGAAAAAGCGCATATTGCTTACTTTATACCAAGTTGTCGAAAAATAAAGGAATCATTGAGTCGGTGTTTAATGTTATGTAAATGTATTGATTCAACTGTTTTTTGGCTGTGACTCTACCTCTCTGCTTCCATACAGAGGGTATATTTTTGCTTTAATTACAATGAATTAATCTAATGCGGTATTTGCTACAAACAGGTAATTAAATGAAAATAAATCCAAATAAGATAGTACTCGTAAAAAAGTGAATGCTGAAAATACTACAAATGGTCTTTTCCATTTTTATCTTTCAGTCCCTACAGAAAACAAATAGAAAAACTATATCAATTCATTCTGCAAACACATTTTACATTCTTCACAGTGGATCTTGAGTTGGAAATAATTTGGAATATCTAAACAGTATAGATATTTATAGTGAATCTTCTATTGCCGCAGCCAAAAAAAGAACATGGGTAAGCTCATCCACTGTGTGTGGGGGTAGGGGAAGAAGGGGATGCATGTGTGTGCGCTGCATTTTATGTCTTCATGGTAAAGTTAAGACACTGGTATAGTAGTCAAAACAGTTATTTAAATAGCTGATACTTTGCTTCTTTTCCGACTTGCACGCATGTTTTAATACTAGACATGATATTGGAAGAGCGAACAAATGCAAAGGAGTGTCAATACTTTGTGTATAAAGAGCATGACTAAATTCATGGTTTCTGGTGGTAATGATGGCACTGTGTAACCCGTGTTTCAGCATAAATCTTAAAAATGTCACAGGATGTATAACAGGCGAGGCGGTATGTGAACATACTCAGAGACCTCTGAAATGTATACTGAATCTCAAACATGCAAGGGTACTCCACACATGGAAGGGTATTTTACTGGAAAAGCATTGCTTCTGTGAAATTAAAAATTCCCATCAGCCTCAGATAAAACCTTTGCAAGGAAGGGGTTCTGCTCCTCCGTTTTTTTCCCATTACAAAAAAGGACCAATTCATCTGTCAGATGCTGTGTTGTTCAATTTCTAATCCCCACTTCACTTTGCTCCTTAGACAGTGACATGAGCCAGCTTTGTTCATCATCAGATCTGATTAAAAGACCAAAGACTCTAACCCTGGTGTTGGCGATGCCATACTTAGCTCTAGAGCATCTACGGGGGAAAAATGTATTGTCTGGCAAATATTTTAGCTGTGGGAAGACTTTCAAAACACTATTTTTAATATATTTAGAAATATGTGACAAATACTTCTGAAAAATCCAACAGTAGCTGCAAAAATAAAATTTATTTGAGATCATGGTTGAAATTTGCATCCCTCACCTTCTGTGTCCAGGTTCTTAACTCTTCAGTCAGTGCAAATACAAACAACTGCATGAGGACGAGCATCTAAACGTGAAGGGAAATTGACGGAAGGGAAGGAGCTCCTACCCAACTCCTCTGGCAAATGAGGGAAATTATTGAGCCTTTGCACATAGACCTAAAACTCCTGGTTCAAAGCCTGGGAGTCCTCCTCATACCTAGTATCTGTAAAGAATGGGGGATCCAGCCTAGGCCGTTCCACTTTACTCCAAGTACACATTTCTTTCTCTACTCAACACCCAGGCTGGAGTGTCTCAGAGACATGCTTGGTTTAATGTCTTCTTTCTCCCTCACACAGGCTCCTTCCACAGGGTTCACTTTCAGACAATGATGCTCACGTGTTTCCAAGTGCTCTTGTTTTAAGAACTTGGAAATTGTTTTCCTGCTCTAGTTCTCCACACTTCCATACCGAATACTTCACAGAGTATTTGACCGCTCCTCTCTGTGACCTAGATTAGAACCCCATTCTGTATCCTTTGTCCTCCTACTTGTTCCAACTACTTCCAATGCCAATGCGCCAATAAAAACAACATCCAGGGCTGGAAAGATGGCTCAGTGGTTAAGAGCATTGCCTGCTCTTCCAAAGGTCCTGAGTTCAATTCCCAGCAACCACATGGTGGCTCACAACCATCTGTAAAGAGGTCTGGCGCCCTCTTCTGGCCTTCAGGCATACACACAGTATATTGTATACATAATAAATAATTATATAAAAAAAACAATATCCAGCTAGTGACCTTTTAGAACTAAGAGTCAGATAACTTCCAGTCTAAACAAGCACAAGGATTGAGTGATGATAAATTACTGATAAAGTCCCACTTCACCTGGCATTGGAAACTTTCTTCTTTCTAACCTTCCTTCTCCTTTCAGAGGCTTCTCAGTGCCAGCATGAGCTTTGTGTTGTCTCCTCATTGTTCCCCTGCATCCTTCTAGACTGTTGTTCCCCCCAGAGGATGCTTCGGTCCACTCTCTGTCCCACCATGGCACTCTATGGTCATCCGTTCAACCTTTCCCATGCTGCTTCCCATGTATGTAACGCCCTTTCCACTCTCACACCCAGAGACCATATGATTATTTCACATGCTCATGGGCTTCATTGGGTTGTCTGCATTTTCAGAACATTTTATACCTGAACACAGATTTTTGTCTTTTATTGTTGTTGCTCACGTTTTTTTTTTTTTTTTTTTTTTTTTCCTATTTTCTACAATGCCTGGAAAGTTTTTGTCTCAGGATAAATATTTCTTGAATTAACAGACAAAAAGGGTCATGACTGACTTACAAAAATGCAATGGCACGGGTCTTGTAAATCTTAAAAACCATCTATAATGAACCCCAAAGATTTCTCTCTGTGCTTTTATTTTAGTTGCAATGTTGTGTTTGTTTGTATGTTGGTTTTTGGGGGGGAGTGTTTTTTTTTCTCTTGGTTTTATTGTTGTATTAAAGTTTTGTGTTTCTAGAAAGAACTTAAAGTTGGCTGAGTAGGAAGGAGGAGAAGATCTGGAAGGTCTTGAAAGAGAAGAAGAATATGATCAAAATATATTAAATTTACAAATATAATACAAATTTATTTATATGATACAAATATAATATAATAAAAAAAACTTAGAAGCCACCCAATGCTTTCCTGGATGGTTCATTGGTTCCTAAGACTAGAGTCATTTGCTTCCTCCACTGATTATAATTTTAAACAGGTTTTGGAGCTCTCATCCATCATAACCTATGTCTCAATATTTATTGAAATATCTACAAGTTCATCCGACTCAAGTTCTGCATATTCTCCGCTATCTCACCAGGGTTCCCACTGGAAATCCCTTCAACTCACTTTGAACTTTTCTGGGATTAAGGCATCCTTACTTAGACTGTTCATCCTATCCAGCGGCCATGCTTTCACTGCCCAAACAGGAAGAAGCATGTTCAGGAGGTTTTCAAAGCAAGCCGGGTGGATATCTTTCTTAGAACAATGTGCTTGTGGCAAGAATGACGCAGGTAGTTCTATTCAAAATTTTATCTTTTGAAATTCATCTGTTCTTTGGTACTCGCATGAACAACAGAACCTCTCTGTTATAAGGAAGCAGTGCAGCCACACCTACCAGTGTGGGGTTCAAGGCTATCGTGACACAGCAGACACACACATCAGCTAGCATGAAAACAGAGTTAAACATTGCTAGTGCATTGATGGGTCCTAGAGCATAAGTTCTCCACGAAGAGGAAGAGTGTGAAACCTGAAGTCATGAAGTACGACGTCTTCTTTCCTGAAAGGCTGTTTGTAGTGCTCCACATGGCCGTATTTTGCACTGTCTTTTAAAATAAAAACAGCCACAGAAGTGATCCACATCTGCACTGCCCTGTGACGTTTCTTTGGGTTTTCACGTGGACGTCTGGTACTCACCGCTTCCCAGTCGGGTAGAACCTCGAGCAGGAGTGGCCATCCCAGGCACAGTAGGGGTCCCTAGCCAGGCAGCAGTCCGCACAGGCTGTGCCGTAGATGTGGCAGCGGTGCAGAGACAGCTGGGAAATCCCCTCATTGGAGCTCACATACAACTGTTGCTGTAAGGAGAATCACGATGATCTAGTTCAGATGTGGAAATCTGAAGACCTTCAGCAGGAACACATTATACTATATGGCCGCAAACCCATGGATTTATTTAGAAATACTCAAAACAAGAAGCAAAGCGGGTATGAAGCCAAAATAAGTAGAACTTTCCTTCCCTTAGTAAGCCTATAACATCACCACTTTCCACTAACAATAACAGTGCTCCAAGTGCACCATAGAGATGCTAATCTGTTTTAAACATTGGGATTCCTTGTTCTCTCCGATTTGAGCTAATATATTGCTTACTTAAATTATGATGTTTTCTTTTTCCTTTGACTTCTGTCTCTTAGCAAATCGCAAGCTTTCATGTTTTTCAAGTACAGCAGCACAGGTTAATTTTGAAATAGAAGACATTTTGTTTAGAAGAAAACGTACAAGATAATCAGTCACACTAAAAGTGAAAACAGTTGAATACGTGGCTTTGAAAGTTACATATTACTTATTAAAGCTACTTTAAGGTTGAATGAAAAACGAATAATCCAATGTTTATTTTTTTATGTAAATATGAATCTAGGCTTGTATGTGTGTGCTTGTTACACATGCACCTCTGTGTGTACCTGTGTGCTCGTGAACGTGGAAAGGAGGACACTAGTCATTTTGTTCTATTGCACTCTGCCATATTCCTTTGAGTAAGTTACTGAACGCAGAGATGCGCTGTCATCTAGCAAGCCCCAGCGTTCCTCCTCGTCCCTCTGTGCTTCAGCCATGCTCATGCTCGCCTCTTTCTATTTAATGTGGATGCTGAGACCCAAACTCAGGTCCACATGTTTGACTGGCAAGAATTCTTAGTCACTAGGCCATCTCACCAGGCCAAATACGAGAGTTTGCATTTAAGCATGCCTCAAAATTTCTTTTTTTGCCTACCCATATTCATTACCCCTACAAAGTCGAAAATAGAGTTAGCCTCCTGCATCATTTGTAAGACATTGAGATGTTTTTTAAAAACTGATTACTTTTAATTATTTGAAAATTTTATATAATGTAGTAGAACTTGTGCTGACATATTCTTCTATGACCCAAATGCCACAAAGCTATAAAATTCCCAGAATACATACTGGGAAAAGAACTGACAATAAATATGAATTAATTACAACAGTAGATTAAAATATGAATAAAAATTACTAATCTGTAAGTTTCAGTTTCAATGACATAAATCATATCTCAGTCTATCATGTTTCAAATAGCTACTTTATTCATGCCAACCGATTTAAAGAAATTATCTGAAATTGATTGATTACCATATAGACATTTAAATACTTTTCAAGCAATGCTGCGGTCTATGGTTGGTCAGTGTCATTCCCTCAAGAGCAGTGGATGGAAATGCTTGCTACCAGGCCCTGTGCACAGATCTGTAAATCCAATTTCTTGGAAAGCTAAAGCAGGAGAGTGACAAAGCTCAAGGCCTGTCTGGGCTAGAGTGACTACCCCAGACCACACTGGTCACTTGCTAATACGTTGTCACAAAATGAATCTTGGGAAAGGAGGCTGGGGTGAAAGTCAGTGGAAGAACATGGCTGCTGTGCAGGAGGCCCTGAGGTTCAGGTCCCAGGATGCATTTCTTAAATAACTAAATATCTATCTAAAGGGAGCAGGCAAGGGACAGTGTCCATTTAATTTAAAGTATTTTAAGAATGCTAGTTTATTTGAGAAAAAGGTAAAAGGTGATTCTACTCTATATAATTTAATTATTAGTAATATCAGCATATTTTTGAAATTGGGTACAAGAGTAAACCAAAAGAAAAAAGAAGGTTAAAGATGGATGAACAATCTGAGGACTAGGAAAGTTATCAAATTCATGATATTTAAACACCTTCACTAACTGCAATCTTCCCACCGCAAAGTGTAGTGCAGTTTTTCGTGAAGCTAGAGTTCCAGAAAATCAAGTCACTACCCCTGCAGTGAGGCTAACTCTCCACTGAAGCACATTAGCCTATCTGCAGCATAAGACGTTGAACACCAGTGTAACATATGACCTATAAATATGCCAAGGCATACATTTTATATACGACTACCATGACACAAAAATGACTGTGAAGATTTTGAATCTTGCTTCTATATTGTCTCTTTTCACTAAGCCATCATAAACAAAAGGCCTCCCTGCTGGCTTCAAAGACAATTCAGACTTGAGATCAGCTCCATAGGACATTAGCCAAATGACGAATGACTTCTTGCTACTTGGGAAAATGTTTGCTATGCTCCATGCAAACATTTTTACAGATGAGATCGTTAACTCCATTATGTCATATTTATTTGTTCTCATAAAATTTGGTCAAGTGCAAAGAGCACCAGACTGACTACGAATACCACCACATCATGTCTCTCTAGGAGTTTGGCTATGGCAAAGAACATGACAATTAGAAAATCAGTTGCTCAAGCATCTGAAGTCTTTGGTCTCTACTCCAAGAAAAATAGAATCCAAGGTTCTTACAGACAGCACTAACTCGTGTCATTTTATCCTAGGCAGCTAACGTCCACCACTTGTGAGAAAGACATTGCTCTCTAGATGTAGAAGCTTAGGTCAGGGAAGTTAAACAACTTGCCAGTAATTTATAGTCAAGTGGAGATTCAAATGCATGCAAAACTGTCTCAGTCTGCCTCTAGGGAGGTCGCTCTTAGGGCTTTGCTTTAAGATACTACCTATGGGAATTGGAACAGAATACATCACAGACATAGAAAAACTAGAATTGTCGTCAACTGCTCATGATGGTTGAGTATTTTCATGTTCAGGAAAAGAACATAGATAAGCTAGCTCTTGTCAATTGCCAGCACTCAGTCCTTCCTCAAATTCACAGATAGCTTTATATTAAGGGTTTTGTAGATATATGTATAAATCTTAGGATATAGCATTGCATGATTACTTCAAAGATATGATGATATCAGGAAAGCAGAAGTGGGTAGATCACTTCTTCTCGCTAGTAGGAAAGCCTTGATTTACAAAAGCCAAGCATTATGTTAAGTTCTATTTTTAGAATGCTAATTTTTACCATAGTGAATGAATCTCACATGCCCTAATAGTTGAAGGTATGGCAAATACAATACTCTGGAATGCCTTTCAGCATATATGATCTTCTTTCATTAAATTTATGCAAAACAAATGGGCTAGTTCTTACCTTCTTAGATGAAATTTTCATTGTTGTTATGGGAACATGATTCTACAAGATTAGAAAATGTATATTAGTTGCTCATATGATCTGAAAAGCAATTTTGAATGTAAAAATTCAAGTTTTGTAAAAAAAAAGATTCAAAATGCCATATTTTTCCCTTAGTTCATGATCTCTCCATAAAGTTCCTTCTTTGGGGCTAAGACTGGACTTTCTGTGTAACAGGTGCCTGAACCTGAAAGAAGGAATGGGTTTACCAGACAATTAACACAAAAGGCCTTAAGATGCGGTGCCAAGTGAAAGATGTTTTTGGGACATTGAGGTGAGGGTTGGATCTGTGTGTGTGTGTGTGGGGGGGGGTGATGATAGGGAGAACTTCAAAACACAGTCTTCAGGAATCATTATTCTGCTCCAGGCAAGGGTTGTTTACAATGTATAAGACTGAACCATGCTATTGAGTTCTCACTGGTGAAACAAAAACATACATAGATAGAAAGGCCTCTTTTTTTGTGTGAAATTATAAACTCAGTTATAATAATTATAATATCTGTAATTTTAAAATCAGTTGTTCAAGCATCTAAAACCTTTGGTCTTTGCAAAGGCATTATTTCTGCACTGCAAAGGGAATTTTTTGTACACTGCAAAGATAATTTTTCTGAAAGCCACTTGATAACTTTACTTCCTAACTATGATAATTAGTTTTAAACTTAAATTTCTGGTAACCTGATGGTGATCCACAAAGACTTAGATGATTTAAGCAGAGGCAAACTCTGAAATTAAATTATTCCCAACACTATAGCTTTTTTTTTTGGATTGTATATGTTTGTAAACATTTAAGATGAAATAAAAGGTGACATCACTAATTCTAAGTGGCAACAATTTTTATTATCCTTTTTTAAACATACACTCGTACATAGGGGACAGATGTGACAGTTTACAGTCACCAGATCCACTAGCGGAGTTGTATCTGAGTTCAGTGTAAGCCTTTTGTAACTAGACACTCAGCAAACATGACTGTGGGATTAAAGAAAGATGTTACGCTTCTGTGCTGTGTAGTAACTCTGCCTATCCTTCCAAAAGTTACACTGATATCTCTACAGCATTTCCATATGATACGTAATTAAGGAACTTTTTCCCTACATAAATCCATTATTTCCTTTCATGACCATTGCAATATATCATGCACACTCAGTCACGTTTACCTCACCTCAGAAATGAGACACAAACACATGCCAAAGACAGTGACTGCATCTGCCAAGAGCGTCTTTTGACTCTGCTCTATCAGAAAACCACACAGGCATCAGTAAGGAAGTTCCAACACCTTTTAGAACGACGTCTCCTACATGCATCGTGACTGTCTGTGTATTTTCATAGAGAGTTTCATCCCCTTGATGATAACCACAGAGCATGTCATGTAACAGCCCATACATAGTTCTTACTGATCAGAATAATGTGCATGCCTTTACGGCTCTTCCATAACATACATGTTTAGACGTGTGTCAAACTCACTTCATTAAACATTGCCCGATAACCAGAAAGATACTTCAATATTAAAAATGAGGTGTTTGCTCTATGTAACTTTTTGTCATCTTCAGGAATCACCAACTTGTTCCTAGTTGGTTGCACGAGGAAAAAAATAAAAGCACAATGTGCACTACAATTTTAGTTAATACAGTGAAGCCCTCAACTTCTTTATAAAGCCAAGGTTGTAAAACATTTACCCGATGGGCGTAGTTTTAATGTGCTAGTCACAAAGAACCTAGTGCAAATTAGAGTCAAATATTTAAAGTGATAAATGTAATAACACACTGGAAAGTAGCTGGTGTGCCTCTGACTTATATTAGATTCCATTCTTCGTTACATTCTTTAATTGAAACTTTTAATAATGAAATCTAACTGAGTTGTATCTTAAGCAATTAAATGCTTATGAAACCAATAGTCTTAGTAACCACAATAATGATATTAATGAGTCAATACAGTCCAAGTCAGGTCAGCTAAGTAAGACAGCTAACTGGACCAGAGCTGTTCTGTCTGCTGCTGGGAGGTCTGAGGTGCCACTGAGCAAAATCAGGCTGTGGCCAGCTCTGCGCTCCAGGAGCCATGGTGTCTTAATTGACTTAGGTGTAAATAAAGTCTATGAAAGGATTGATTCCAGGCCAAAGTTTCCATGCAGTTCTTAGGCTGCCTATCTCTTCAGTTTCCAAAAGCAGGTAAGAAGGGCACTTGCAGAACCGCAGTAGCCACTCTAAGAAACCAGCAAGGCAGGAAACCGGTTCTGCTGGTTCCCAGATAACTAGAGGAAATAGTGGCTGAATTTAGTGGCCTCTTTTGTAATTACAGCACTGGGAAACTGAGGTAGGAAGGTCCCAAGCTGGAGACCAGACTGCAGTGAGAGTGACAAGCTCTAGCTAAAAGGAGGAAGAAGAAAAGGGCCTCTGGGCGTGTGTCCTGACTGGCGGAGACCTTAGTGAGAGATTCTGTGTATACTTTTGCTTTTGTTTTCTTGTTTCTCTCTCTCTCTCTCTCTCTCTCTCTCTCTCTCTCTCTCTCTCTCTCTTTCTTCCTAAACCTCAATTCAAGGAGAACAATATAGTGAAATCTCAAGTAAGAACAGAAGACTTCAAGTGTCAACCAAGAAGGAACATTTGTTTGATTTAACCAGAGTGGCATTTGAATGGAAAGCAATCAAACAACAGCAGGTTTTTTATTTATGACTGGTTTGCAAAAATATGAGGAAGCTTATCTGCAGTCAGTAATCTGAAGGCATTCGAGTTACAGTAGTTTGTGAGGGGAATGATAAAAACCCGTGCATGGCAAACTATTCAAGACCTTGGCCATAGAGGCTCATTTATTAAAAATAATGACGACCAAATTTCTTTGAATTGTGATGACAGTTGGAAAAAAAAGTTAGCCTTTTATGTTAAGACAACTTGAAGTATGAGAAAATACTTCACAAAAATATTTGTTCTCTATTTCTCCTTTTATCTGATGCTTTTCTGCTCGTAAAAATTATTGCGTTTGTTTATTTAATCTTTCATTGGATATTTTTACTGGCTAGAGGAGTAAAGGAATGATGTCATCATGCATGTGTTGAGATGAATAGGAAGAAGTAATGGACAAACCTTAAAGACTTGCAGCTCCTCCAGAATGAGCTCCCCGCTGGCAGAGCTGTTGCTTGGAAGGACTACCACCTTCTGCACAGTGCCCCGATCTAGAAGGGAGAGGGAGAAGGAGGTGCTGTCAGAATACTGCCTGAAGGATGCTTAACACAAGCGCCTAGTCTTCAATTAGATTACATGTTAAGCAATTACTGTTTATAACAGATTGAATTTATGTCTAATCCCATATGTTTAAATTGAGAATACATACAACTAAAGGAAAATATGGCCGCCTCTCATTTTGTCTAGTGTAGAATGAAAGCTGTTCAGGAAGGATATATATTCATGTAAATTCAAAAGCATGAGTTGGGAACCCATCCTCACATATGTGCACAATTATAAATGAATCTGTAAAAGAATCTGTGAGTCAAGTATATACTCTTGAAATACAATAGAAATTATTAAGTGAAGTCATTAAAAACATTCCTTATTTCTCCAAGCTAGCATTATGAAATGATACTCCTACCATTTTGCTAACATTTAACCTGTATTGATTTCATCTGAACAAGTCTTAGTAGAAGTGGTTGGCTATCATTATAGCATAAAATTACTAGTCCTGAACAATAGACATTGATCTACGATTTTGAGGTAAGATAGGGTAAAATATCTCACTCCCATTACAATGGACAGTTTAATAGGAAACACTAATGAGAAACATAAACTGTTTTATTTCAGGCATGGGTACCATTTATAGAATAATCATACTGATTGATTTTAATTATAATTTGGCATGTTCTTAAAATATAGGGAAAAAATGAAATTATGTGGTCCAAAGTAATATAAAGTGAAAATGTTCTTGTATCCTGTAGCCATGCTGGATAATAGCAGTATGCATTTCATAACAGTGCAGAAAATGGTCCTTAGGGTAAGATAATTCAGGTTGTTTCATAGTTATGTAAACACTTTTATGCATATGATTTTTTGCTTTACCCAATTACATGAATGTTAGATTTGAGAAAACTAGTTAAGATTTAACAATAAGATAATGAAAAGAGTTGCTCTTAAAATAATTCATAAGCTGCATGATAATATCAAGTTAAAAATACTCTCAGTTGTGACAATAGACTTTTAATTATCTACCATCAGCAGATAAGATGGCTGGGTTTTTTTTTAATTATTTTGAGAAATGTCTGTGAGAAAAGTTAAGTAGAAGTGAACTGTGCAGAATTTTTTAGCTAGCAATCATTTAGGTATTGATACTACAAATCTTAAACCTTAACACTGGTTGTCAGTCTACAAATAAGAGTGAATTTGACATAAAATATACTATTCACGTTTCTAATTCACATTTTATAAACCTTATCGAAAGATTCTCAAAAGTTCTTACTTAAAAAACCATGGCTTACAAAATGGTACAATAATTTTAAAAAAGAAAGACAACTCCTAAAAGATGTCAGGAACAGTGGGACTTGGTGCTTTCTGAAAAGTTGCTAGACTATGAGGATGCAACATATGAGAGTTTGATGGTAGAAATTTTTAAGTTCATTCTGCGACTACAATTCACTGCTGAAACAAGCTAAAACTTAATGAGGGTCCCAGAGCACCGAATACTCCAGGTGGAATTCACAAACTAATTCTGCTTCTCTCAGGAGCTTCATTAACTCAACCCATGTGATGATTTGGGATATTTTGTTCTAGAGGTAATATAAATAAAAATTTGTACTAAGAAATCTCTTAGAGATGCTACACAAATATGTCATAATGGAAAATGGATGACTGTGGTTACAGATGTTCCTCAATTTCAAATGACAACACATCAAAATGATCAGTGTAGACAGCTAGAAGAATATCATATAACCAAAATCCCTAATCGGAGAACCTTGAGATTATGACAGGTTAAAGAAAAATGTGTAGTTTTCCTCCCCTACTGCTGCCTCTCATGGGTGTCTGAGCGTATGTGTCTATGTCTGTGGGTGTGCATGTATATGTACGCAGATGCTACTTTTGAGTATGTGAGTCACTGATCCTAAGGGTTTGAAGAAGTCAGGAGAGGAATGAGCGTATCCAATCAGACTGATTATGTAATGTTAGAGTTACAGTCTCTTCTAGTGTGTAAGGACTGTTAGCATCTGTGCCTTTATTGGCAGCATCCTCTAAGAGCAGAGGACGAGGAGAGGCTTTGGAGACCAAGCCACAAGAATTACTTTAAAGTGTATCTTGATCACAGTGTCTCTCAAAGACATAACGGCTCTGAAAAGTTCAGTCAGGTTGCTTGCTCTAGCAGTTCCATAATGCATAACCCTATCAAATTGCCATGCAGTTTAGAAAATATGTGCACAGTATCTGCTTTGCAATATCAAAGAAAAATGGTTGAATATTCTCAGATGAGTTATATGCCTCTTAACTTCTTCTTATAATGTGTTAGTATGCTAGGAGAGCAAAGGTTTTAATGAATTATCAATCTCTTCAAAAAGGTTTCTGGTAAAGGTACTTCATTTACCCATTGATAAAATATAAAAAGAACTGTAATATTAGCTGACAAATTATGGCAAAGAACATGTATTTGACTCACTCATAATAAAAAGTAGGATATAATTTGCCTTTTGCTTTTCTATTTTAGACTTTAGAAAATTTATCTGGTACTGATGAACATGGAAAATATTTTTGCAGTATCTTAGGCTGTGTAATTCACTATAAAATAGATTTGGTTTATCTGCCATGCATTTGACCTCATTAACTTGGTAAAAAAAAATTATTGAGGGTCGCCACTCAGTCAGACAGAGGAGATAAAAGAAAAAATAGAGATAATACTCAAGTGTTCAGTCTGGAGTTTATGGGTTTTTAAGTCCTGTGCTCACATAAAATGTTAGTCATTGTGAGATGTACATTCCAGAATCGTCATGAAGCTCCCCAGTGTTGACATCCACATAAAGCCATCTCTGTCTCTTTTCGTTTGAAGAAAATGTGGTTATCAGATATCTTCCTTTTCGGGGTGCTCAGACTAGTTTTCTTTGGCGGGATGCACTAGTATAAATCCTCTCTTTGTGGTTCTTTTATCTTAGGAGATGTCGTGGACCTACAAGAGAGTTACAGTGAAGCTGCCTCCCACTCCTTTTCCTCAGCTTCAGTTGACTTCGGTGTCAAGAGAGTCAATAACGACACTTTTGCAGTAGTTGTCAGTTACTACAACTATGCTGAATCATTTTCCCTTCTCGTATTAATATCAACAGGCAGCTTTTGGGAACATCTCTTCCATCCTCAGTCTACATACTAAAAAATGCCTCTGCTCTTCAACCACTACATGCAAGATATCCCATAAGAGCATCCAAGGAGTGGGCAAATGCACAAGTCAGAGCCCTGGGAGTCAATCCCAGCATGAGTTTCTTTCATTGAGGAATAAATTCTTGCACATAGCTCTGCTAGAATCATTCCATTTGCTATACAAGAAACTCCCTTGGAGAGGTAGTAACAACATAAAAAGCAGAGCCAAAAGATGCTACAATGAACTTCTGCCTCCTAAATTCCCAAATGAAAGTCTTCTGTTGCTTTAATTAGCCGGGGGAAGGTGTATGGCCATTTTTTTAGTTGAGTTCTGACTGAGAAATAGGAATATAGAAACCATTTAAAACCATGTGTGGTCCGGTACATAGTCTACCCTCAGCAGGTGAAACCTCTTTGCCTCTCTGTAGCTCACCCACTAAACTTGGCCATCATAGAAGTAGCTTTCTTTTTCATGTAGATGAAGATCCCTGAATCAATGAAATCACTGAGGATACGTGGGAGTAACCAAGACAAATCTTAGAAGTGATTTCCATGATGTCAATCTTCACAAAAAGATAACAGCACACAGTGCTGATTTAATTTCCTTTTGTTTATTAACTATCTAAAGAAGCCTCCCTAAATAAGCATTTTTTTCTAACTGTTTATTTTATGCTATCTAGGTGTCTTTGAGAATGTAATATAAGGGAGCACAGCAATGATTGTTCAATGGCTCTTCTGTCTGTCCCTACGCTGGAGGCCAGCCTGCAGGTGTCACACAGTAGGTGCTGGCTGTCTAAAGCAAGTCCTGAAGCAGAGGTCATTACTCAGCAGGTCACTGGAGTCAGCACTGGTATTCAGCCCTGGTTACACATTAACTGAAGTCCTCAGGTTTCCCGGGAAACAAGCTGCACTTGCCTTTGGAATGGAGGAACAAGGCCCTGTTAATCAGATCTAGTCCCTCCCCCTCCCAGTGGTTGTTAACTCCTGAAAGAATTCTAGCCAAGCTGGCTTCCTCCCTGGGTCACCGACACAATCACATAGGCACCTGTGGCTAGGGAGGCAACAAGCTTGATTTAATGCCCTTTTACAGCCTCTTTAAAAGTCTTATTTACTTATATTTTTTTAGACAGGGACACTGGGTTTTATTTTTCACCGTACCCTACAAATTGCTCACACAGTTGTGATTCTGAGAGCGAGGTAATCAATAATCATTCACATCAAGGAAGAAGGCGCCATACTCACTTGAGAAAAGACACACAATCCCAAATTGAATACTGATCTCTTCCTGCTCTTTCTCTTTTCAGCTCAGTGACCCACGGTGTCAAACACTGCAGCATTGTATGTGACCTTAGGCAATTGTCATGTAAGTTCTAGCATTTATTTTTAAAATCAAACATTATAAAACAATAAACAGATGTGTTAAAACATGCCCTCATATTTTTTACATTCAATTCATCTTTGGACAGAACAGAAGGGTAAAGCCAAGCAAAAACTGAAAAGTTCAGGCAAGTGGAAGCTCTGTAGACTGAAAGGGAGTGTGATTAGACTTCCAGCCCCCGCAGCTTCAAAAACTGGGTCTAATCAAGTGGCTGCCTCATTTGCAGCCTTGTTAAACATCCACTCCAAGTGGGAGACACTTTCCCCGCTTGATTACCAAATCACTGCTGCTGTATTCTTTTCTTCCTACTTTTATAATTGGAAAATAATACAGAAAAACAGGTATTATTCTCCCCCACTCCTGGCAGATGATTGAAGCACTGGCCCCAGTCACACAGGTCCTGACTGCCACATCCTTGGCCGTGAATAGCATCTTAAGTGTCTCCATTTGAGGGGACACACTTGGGGTGGCAGT